GGTGGGTGGCCTGGTTCTGTAGTCTGCTTTGAAAAACCCATCCTAGACTTGCCCCCTGAATTGGAACTGAAGCATCCTGTCATGGAATCTTCATTAAATGTTTTACGAGGAGAATACTTGAACTCCGTCAGGAGCAGACATGAAAACATGCACAGGGGAAGCGATGGCATCCTGCTCCCAGAGAGGTTTGCGCAAGCCCGTGCCTTCAGTTCTCCAGCCGTCTGATTGAATTAATCACGTAAAAGAAACAACAATGTAAAAAAGTGCTGCTGGGGAGATGAATGCTGATTTAATGGGCAAAGCAAGTGGAATCAAAGGCTATTGTACAATCCAGGGAGTGCTATGGGATAATTAAGATACGAAAGATTTTCAGCTTTTGGCAAGATGTTCACAATAACCCAAGTGAGCTGACAGTAGATGGAAGGAGACAAAAGTTAGAGTGCCCAGGTCTTGGCATACAGATAGAACTAATGTTGGCCAATGGACTGAACGTCAAGGCATAGTGTTGTTCTGGGGCCTGGGTGATAACTTTCATTACATGTTTGATTGTGTGTAGGAAGAACAAATGGGGGAAATGCTGGAGATTTCATAATCTCTCAGACATTTTGCAGCAAGCTAAAGTGGAAAGCCATAGACTGAAATTGTGTAGATCATAATGCTACGGGAATGGCAACACCAGGTGTATTTTACCTTTAATTTGACTGCTCCGAAAAAACTAGATGAAGCATCTTGGAGATACAGAGAGACCTTTTTTTCCACTGTTTTTTCCCAACACGCTAAAGAGATGTAGCGCCCATTGAAGTCAATGAGAACCTTTCCTTTATCAGTATTCACTTGGAAAGAACAGAACTGGGCTGTGACATGAAATACACATTTCCAGAGCTGCTTCATACTGTATTTTAGAGATTCAGTGTGTCTCATACTTACATTGTTATGACTATAGTCAGACCTGGCCCCTGTACTCTAAATTTAGGTTCAGTAGGTTACTGAACCATGTATGAGAGCATTATTCTAGTGTGGACTGAAGCTCTGAAGCCCAAACTATGTATAATTATTTTTATTGAGGTGATGATACTGTATCGATCTATATTTCCCAGTGCTCTAGTGCATCGGAGGAATTAATGTTGGACTATGTTAACAAGAAATAGTAATAAAAATGTAAGAATTTTTCCCTAATCCCATTTCCTGATTAATTACTTGTTTTAAGAATGGGAAAAAAGTAAGTCATTAACATTTGATTTCGCTTTGGTTAATGAAAGAGCTGGGGGATCCTACCTGAATTTCTAAAAGGGGACAAGAAGTTTTTAAAGGGCCTTGTGTGAGAGATGATTGAGTTATTGTGTGTGTAAGTAAAAGACACAGGATGCAAAGTGTGCACAATTTCCAGCAGCAGGGAATATTTTTCTAGCCTTTTATTCATTTCCAAATGGAAAGAGAGTTATGGAAATGTGAGCGGGCATTACATTAAGTGCTTGAAATATTCCTTCCCTATAGACTAATAAAGGCATGCTTCTTCCATCAAGCAAATTTAGTTTTCTGAAAGCCACATGAAGAGAGATCTGAATCAGTGAACTACACATCTGCCGTAGGATCAGCATTTGTGTTCTCTAATATACTCTGGTGAGGGTGGGCATAACCTCTTAGCTTATCTAGTCGTGTTCTCTACAGCATCTTATTATGCAAATCAGTAATGGACTTTGAAACCAAGCCTGTCATGTAGTTCTTTGGTCTATTTTCCTACCTTAATGGAGACTGAAAGGCATGCTAACCTTTTCAAAACGCTTAGTCTATTTGCATCCCTCCAGTAACAACAGTCAAGTGGGATAGGTCAGAAATGTGACCTGCCGTGTTTATAATGCAGTTATAATGGTTACGATGTCATCGATGGCTATAATTTCATATGGATTCTAGACATCTGTCCTTTTAAAAAATCCAACCTTCAATCAGTGTGAAATTTAAATTTGCAATAGTAATAAACGCGATTTCAAGAGCTGTTTGGGTCGGGTCCCTGCTGAGGTCACTGAGGATGCTAATGCATAAACAAGGAAATAATAAAGTGCAGCTGAGTTTATTTCTGTTCCATTAAAAATACAGGAGAAAGAATCAATATTTCTTTCTAGGCCCTTGGTAGTGGAACATAAATAATTCAGGGTAAAATGGGAAAAAATCATAAAAAGGAATTGGCAGTGCCCTTTTACTCTTTTCCTTTCTGGGGGAGTTTAGATGGAGATGCTCTGTTGTTTAAACTTTCAGACGTTCCCTGGTTTTCGTTCAGATGCTCTCTTTTGTATTGGGTCCATGTTTCAGACCTGCTATCTTAGAAATAAAATATAATACTTGGTACTTACATACTTTGCACGTTTCATGTAAGGATCTGCAAGCACATCTCAAAGGTGGATGAGAATGATTTGTCCTCATCTGACAGATGAGAGAAATGAGACACAGTGAACTTAAATGTTTTGTCCAAGGTCAGACAGTAAAGACTGGAATCAGCTCAAGTCTCCAGATTATTATTATACTTCATTTGTTTTCTGTAATTCTTCTTACCATGTTTCCTCATTTACAAAGTTATGGGCCAACCCAGAAGTCCTTTACTCTGGGAAAACAACTTAACTGGGAGTTATGCCTGAGGAAGAACTTCAGGATCTGGCCCATTGAGTTTTAATAAGGGCTTGTTCCTTTACAACCCTTCTTCTTTCTATTTGAGGCAGAAGGGAAGCTACCATACTGAATTTGTGACATCACATTTACATCTGTAGCTATTTCTACATCATTTATATAGAATTATAACCACTATTAGGTCAAGGAAAATGAGACTCTGGGTTAGAACAAAGCGAATAATTCACAATTCATTCAACAAAGGTAACCTCTTTTAATGCTTGTGGAATATCCATTAATCAAATCAGAATTTCTTCCAGTTCATGCATTATTCAAGTTTATTTCATTAATACTTTTGCAATTTTTTATTCTATAGCTGAATTGGAAATTTTCAAAATTTAACCTGGCTGTCTTAATTAGGATCAGTCAGATAAATCACATGGTATTCTTTTCTGTTTGAGTTTCATGCCGAGTGACTGTTTCCAGATATGACCTTAATAACGGGTTGCTGTCTGCTCCACATAGAAGTCCCATGGCAATATTTTTAAGGAAAGAGGCTGGCCCGAGTGCCCTCGTCTCCCATTGCTTTGCAGGGTGCCGGCTGCCAATAATGCAGGGGGCTGCAGCCTGCCACCCCAGATGTGACTGCATTTCAGTGGTTGATTAAGTGATCACTGTGGGTGGGATTTCCATGAGCTATTTGAAATTGATTTTACTCTCTTCTTGTCAAAGTCAGTGCTAAAACTCTCACTGACTTCAGTGGGAGCAGAGCTAGAGCGCTGTTGAAAATTCCATCCTGTATGTGCATTGTAGCATGCTTTGGGAGCCTTATGGATGAAAGGTGCTATCTAAATGCCAAGTATCAGGGGGTAGCCGTGTTAGTCTGTATCTACAAAAACAACAAGGAGTCTGGTGGCACCTTAAAGACTAACAGATTTATTTGGGCATAAGCTTTCGTGAGTTAAAACCTCACTTCTTCGGATGCATGATATGCTACAGACGGCAAGGTTGGGGGACAAGGAAATATATGGTGGTAGGCAGGGTCCCTGTTCTGCTCCCACTGAAGTCAAGGAAGCCTTTGAAACAGTCTTCAGAGGGAAAAGATTTGGGCATCTAAAGAAGTACATTAGATAAAAGGAATCACAGAACTGTTGTTATTGTTATTGCTCTTGTGCAAATTTCAACTGTTAATGTGGTTTAGGCAGTTGATGAATTTCCCCCTTACACTCTTCTGGAAATAGTGCATTAAGTTTAGCTATGGTCACGCTGTTGGGGCCTTTGGTACCAGCAACCACTGAGAAATCAAGACGGTGTGATTTGTGGCTGCTGTTAGTGAGAAGCTGTTGGAGAGCTCTGGCTAGTGTGTGCCCTGCATGTGCTTTTAGACAGATTTCCACTGGCGTCCTCGTGTGGGGAGGGTACCTGAAAAAGCCCCTGCCAGGGAGCCAGCGGGTTCCCACGTTGCAATGGCTGCTCTTATTTATTTATTTCTTTCCCCGCCGATGACTTGAAACTGGAATATTTAAGAATGGCCAAAAGCCTGTGAGCTAAAGCAATAGGGTCAAATCCAGCTGTGTAACTCCATTGAAATCAATGCGTTGAATCTGGATCAGAGTGATCAGCCCTGTGGGATGTATTTAAATGCTACGTAATGGGATGTATGGTATGCTTCATAAGCGGATTGAGAACAAAAGCGGTTTTAAAATGTTATCAAAAATCTCTTTTAATCCGGTTTCCCCCACACACACACACTCACACAACACACATGTTCCCACACACAGAGATACCACACTCACAAAATGACACCTGCTCATTTAATCTGGAGTTTTCTGCAGATGTTATAGGTTTGATTACCAAATATGCTGCAGTAACTAAGGAGAGGACCAACCCGAACCCCAGATCTAAACACCCTAAAACATTGGGAAGTTCAAATCAGACTCACCTCGCACAAATGTTTTTAAATAACAGGTTGGTCAGATTACACCAGTGATAAAGATGACAGTTCCTACAGCATGATTAGACTTCAGTGCACGATCCATGGTAAAGAGGAAAGTGGGATTAATCATTTAGGCCTGTGCAAAGTGAATGCACTGTGGGTGTGAAACACTGTCAGATCAGAATTCTCCTGTCCCTGGAGCCTGGTGGGGATATGTAACACCCACTGCGCGGCCACTGCATTGGTGCATGTTCTGATGCAGGGTGCAATCCGAACACAAACTAACACACACAGACACAAGTATCTTACCTGCACTTCAAACAGGCTTCTAACTTTGTGACCTTTTTTCAAAGATCAGGAGAAACGAGAAGCACCATGGCCGAGCACACACATCCTACAGGCTTTCTCAAGAGTGTTCTTCTTTAAGCTCCCTTCTTATTTGCTTTCTCTTGTGCTCTTATTATAGGGCAATCCATTGTACTTCCAATCTGCCAGAAATGTTACAGTGAACATTCTCAATGAGAAGACTAAAGTCCTTACTCGTCTTGTAACAGGTAAGGAAGAGAAAACACCAGAGGAAAGAATTAAGACGACGTAAAGGACCCTGTGCTGTGGGATAATTTATTATCATTAAACAGTAGAGAGGAGGATAGCTAAGGCTTCTAGTAAAGTACAAGTTAAAAGTTAGCTCCGCTTTGTAGAAACAAAAGATAAGAAGGTTAGAGCTGTGCTGGAGAAGAAGCTGGCTGCACATATCTAATAAGGAAGCAGAAAATCATTGTCATTTGAAAGTCAATCCAGATAGTTGTATGACTTCAGGGTCAGGAAGAAAATATTCATCCTGACATTTCATTTGTAACAGGCACAGGATTGTCCCAAGATACTTTTAACTGGCCTAAGATCTCTAGAACTCTGTTGGTTAGTAGCAGCTCTGCAATTGACTGCTTTCCAAACCCAAAGCCCCTTCTGCTGCTAAAGACCCCTTATTCTCGTGAGCATTAGCACTTCATGTTTGATGGGGAAACCAGTGTTTCAGGAATCCCCAGCATGGGTGTGTCTTTGAGAGCACGGGTGATTTGTGTCGAGAGCGCAGCATGTAAAATGCTTAATATACAAATAGAGCAGTCTATGGCCAGGAAGAAGTATTGCTGTGTGGCGGAGCCAATAATCCATAAAACATGTTGTTTCTACATGAGTTTGGATTGTCTGGCTGGCTTATGTAACACCTGACCTCCAGTCACAGTGCTAAATAATTAACCAGCTTCAGTAACCAATGACTTAAGGCGCATTTGAAAATTGCCTTGAGGAGGGAAATAAATTCAATCCTGAGCTCCCAGATTCTGCCCTTCAAAAGGAACTTGTTTACTTTGTTGGTCATTTGCCATTTATTTCCCATGGAATCTTTGTGTCACTCGAGTGACTCTGTTTTGACAGACCTTGGAAGTGTCTAGATGGCCGTTAGTAGAAGTTACAGCAGCTCTGTAACCCACGCGCGCACACACAAAGCACACACCATGCCAACACTGAAATGAGACCTAACACAGCAAACTGGCTAGTAGAGATGCAAGATCTAGTGAAGGCATTGGAGGTTGACTTTTGGAAAAGATCATAAACTTACTGCTGCCTGCCTATTTGGCTTGGAATGTCAGATGCTTCTTCACCACGGGGATCAGTGCAACATAAATACCCAAATACTTTTATTTTGATGTATAAAGGTTGCAATCAACACCCATGACATGCTCTGGGTATCTTTGCATACTCTTAAAAGTCATGGTAAATTATATGATACCACATAATATAACTGAACCTAAATGTAATTACTCTAAAAATCTCCTGCGCCATAGGTTAGAAACCAACTCCTGATGACAGCAGTAATCGTAATCCAATATAGTAGTGTGTCCATCAGCCCACATCCCCCTTACATGCCTCAGAAGAAGGCTGGGATCACACAGCATGTCTCAAACACAAATTCTTTAATGAGGAGTGGGAAAGAGAATTCCACAATTGCAAGGCCTTCATAGAGAACACCCTGCCAGCTGCTCCCATCTCTTTAAATTGAAGGATTTCCAGTTTAAGCAACTCTGCTGATCTCAGCTGAGGTGGAGTGGCATGCAGAGTGAGGCTGTCTTCTCAGGGAACCTGTTTCCACATAGGGCTTTACCGGTTAAAACCAACATCGGGAACTCCACACAGAGAACTCCCAGGCTGCCAGCTCATGGAAAGCTGATGATGTGAGATCTCAGTGTGACACTCTGATTAGTAAGCAGGTGCTGCATTCTGCACCAGTGTCAGTTTCCAAGTGGTCTTAAGATGTAGTCCTGTATTGAGTGCGTTGCAGTCGTGGGTAGGTAGAGAGAGAAATTCGAACCTAAAAGCTGCCAAAAATTGTGAGATTTTCTCAGAATGGTTTGCAGGATCCTTTAGCTTTTCCACAGAATTAAACAGTTTCTACCTTCTGTGCCCACCATTGTGCACACAGTTAATAGTTTGTGTACTCGGGCAGCGCTGGCATAAATGCTAGTGCACACAACTGCATGTGGAAGCAATTGTGAGCACACAACGTTAGAGCCCGCATTTAAAAACCTTGGCCTTTCAAGAGTCATTTCTTTTCTCTTCTGAGAAGTGAGACCAGTCAGGGAGACAGTGAGAGAAACATTTGGGGCTGATCATCTGCCGTGAGCAGTGGCAAATCCATCCGGTTTTGTTGTGCGTGGCGTGGGATAGATAGGAGAGGAATGTGAATTACAAGTCGAGTCCAGGTCAGGTGGCAGAAGGGTCAGCTCCTTGCACTGCTGAGCCACAGACCAGCATGGAATGGCCACGAGGGCAGGGAATGTTTGTCAGACTTTGGAACGAAAAGCATTAGATTGCGGAGCATATCAAGAGACAGCAGTAGTATTAAGATAAGAGCTAAATACTGGGGAACTATTACACATATAAAACTTTCTGAAATGTTAAAGGTGACTACCCTTTATTTTGTCTTGTACACACTTGAAAGCCAGTCACTTAGAGTCTCATCCTGAAGGATGCTCATTTGAAAATGCTCATCACTTCTCAGGATCAGACTCTTAGTTCTGTACCGCATCTGCCCCTGTTGATTTCAGTGGAACGGGCCATTAGTCTACAGTTCAAAATGAAGCACTTGTTCCTGATTTTCATATTCCTTTTGGATTGGAGCGTGTCAGATACCAGCATCAGTTTGTTCGGGGTAAATTTGATTTACATGGAAGTGAGAGCCAAGCAAAGAAAGGGCAGATGTTGGACTTGCTTCCTTTCCTCCTTTTCATATACTCACACCTTGCAAAAAGCTTGGTACCTGGTACAGCTGTGCCAATGCACTTAAATCAGGGCCGGTAACATTCTCTGCTATTTCATGCCTGGGTCTTTCTTTAGCAGAAACTCTCAGTTGTGACAAGTTGCTTGATGGTTTTGTAATGTCAACAAATGTTCATTAAGGCGTAGAAAGAAATCATGGTAATTTTATAGGGCGGGTTAAACATCATATTATTACCCTTTCCTAAGGACAAGTCACACTCTCAAGAGGAGAATCTCTCTGTGGTCTATCAAATTGTAGATCATACATGCAGAGTTACTGGGATAATCTCAACACTCAGATTTATTACATTCATAAAAGTACCGTATAGTTTTCTTCAGAAAACATGGGCTAAATCTTTTCTCCCGTTCTAGGTCCCCAAGCAGTGGAAGCACACAGCCAAAAATTTGAGGTGAAATCCCTCTCTGGAAAATTGCTGTTTTCTGCAGATGACAACGAAGTGGTCGTGGGAGCAGAGAGACTGAGAGTTTTAGGTAACAGCTCTTAGACAAATCAACTGTTTAAAAACTGATCTAAACTTCTCTGAAAGTTTTCTAAGAGTTTGGTCGAGCTCGGTTTGAATTCAGCACCAAAACTCTTGTTGACATCAGTGGGGGTTGTTGGATCAGGCCTTGGGAGACTGGCCTGCTCATGGGATTGGTAATGGGACTCACTGCCTTGCACCTACATCTTTGCTTTCAATGTGCCTCAGGTTGATTGTGACCATTGCTGCCATCTGATGGCTGTTGGCTAGCCTTCATAATAAGTGACTGGTGGCTGCAATCCAGTTTCACTGGAGAAGTAAATAACTAGTTTTGGCAGTCTTAGCAGAGAGGCCAAACACTGGATGAGTTTAGATGCTGAGCTAACGGCTCAATCCTTTGGGTCCAAGATGAAGGATGACGATGGGGCAGTGTGGGGGAGCTTTCACGGCCACCGTTACTGTCCTGGGAATAAATAGAGGGCTCCAGTCCTGTTGATCTGGTCCCTTTCACCAACCCTACATTCATTCTAAAGCAATACGATTTTTAGAAGAACTGCTGCCCACATCGTATTTTTAGTCTCCTTACTAATTTCCTTGATATTCTATGAGCCTTTATCTTAATTACCTAATTTTTCCTTAATATCCATATGAGAGTTTGGTGTGTCTTGGTGTGGCTTTTTTGCTGGCATGGCTTAATCCACTAGACCCAATAAGGGATTCACCCCCTTGGCAGGCAGCCAGACTCTCCACTGTTGTCCTCCACTGGAGTTCTTCAGTAATTCAAGGTAGGCCAGGGTAACTTGAACTCCCACCAGACTCTATAGGAGTCCTACTGGCAGGATTCTCTGTTGGAAGCCACAGAATTGGTGCATCCTTCTGCTGCTCCTCCTCTTTGACCAGCTTCATTTACTTTGAGGGCTGTGCTTGTCCTTAAAACCTCTCCCCTATAAACCAGGGGTTTGTCTCTTTATGCCACTGCAGCCTGGATCAGCTAGCTCCCCAGAGTTTCCTGCACCAGGTCCTTCTGTCAAAGTTTACGCTGGCATTAGCTTGTGAGTATGAGTGGTGGAATGTCTGAGCAGCCTTTGGGTTTATTTCAGTTAGGTGGAAAAGAGACTGTTGAGGTGTTTTTTAATAATTTTTAAACATTTTTTCCTCATAATTACAGATGGTAACCCCTTTAGAAGCGTGAAGGTTTTTCACCTTCCTCTGCAGCATGAGGCCCGGGTCACTTGCAGGTTTAAACTAGTGTAAATGGTGGATTCTCTGTCACTCGAAGTCTTTAAATCATGATCTGCAGACTTCAGTAACTCCGCCAGAGGTGAGGCAGGTTCGGTGGCCTGCCATGTGCAGGAGCTCAGACTAGAACATCATGGTGGTCCCTTCTGGCCTTACAGTCTGTGAGCCTAAATCTGTTGCCTTCCAGTACGGTGCTTGCAGTTTGGTTATCGTAGACTTGCAAAGGAGTATTGGGTGGAGGATGTTTTTAATTGAGAAAAAAGAGCATTTAAGTGTTTGTTTAAAAAATAAAACAACCCACATATCTCTGTAATATACCTATCTATATCTATCACTTCCTGTATGGAATATATATGTGTTTATATGGATTTTGTAATATGAGGCTTTCCAGACTTCATGGTGTGTCTTTTTTATAAGAAAATTTAAAAATTGACCATTAAAGCAAATGTGCAGTTTTAGAGAAGTAGAGTATATACCACAAAGCTAGGCTCTGAACACAAGTCTCCGATCCTCCACTGCATTTTTCAGAGATATTTGATCAAATCAATTCTTACGAATTCAGGAGATGATCAGTCTCAGTATTCTCCTGGAGATCTCAGAGTAGACGGATATTTTAGACCATTTTTCTTGGTCAAACAAAGTGATAATTAACTGATAAAAAGTATTCCACAGGTTGCAAATACTCCTTTTCAGATGACATAGCTCGAAAAATGTTTGTCTATTATTTACTTGAATTGCTCTGGAGGAACCAGCAGTAGTTTTAGATATATCAGTTTGAGTTTATGCCTCATTTTAGTCACTGGAACGTAAGGAGTGGGGAGCTTGCTAATGCTAGAGTGCATTTTTATTTATGTTTGCAGCAAAATCTCTCAAGGTTTTATCAGGCTTAGGCAGAGACATGAAAGAAGAAAAGATATGGGGACAGGAGAATTGAGGTTATACTGTACAGTATTTCAGTAACCTTGAGCTGCAACATTTTTAGCGTTTGTGTTGGGCTTTGATTTTTTTCGTCCTAATTTCTGTAAGCTAACGGTGTCTCAAAAAGTGGTTGCCACAGCTGCTTACCGTACCAGGAGATGTTAGACTGTATGTTTGTATTCCTTCCAATAGTCTTGTCAGGACCTGAGGGTCAGGATCCTGGAGGAAGATAGGCAGGAGTAATGGCAGGAGTCGGCGTCAAGCTGGGGGGTCAAAGCCGGAGTCTGAGTCGGGAGTCGAGCCGAGGGACAGAACTAGAGGCAGGATCAAGAATTGGGCCGGGAGTCAATACCAGGGATCCGGATCAGTGCTGGGGCTCCGGGGATCGATGGAAGTCAGCATATAAGTCAGAGGCGAGGACAATTCCAGGAGTTCAAAGGCAGAGAAGCAGGACAGTGATGGCAGCTAAGTAGGAATCCACATTGTTGCCTGGACACTTCTAGGAGCCCGTCAGGGATCACTAAGGCCACTGGCAGTCGGATCACTTGAGGCAGAACTTACTGTAGTGTGCAGCCTCTGAGGATTGTGGTCACAGGGGGGGTGGCAGTGTGTGGATATTGGTTACCTATCAGCCCTGCTGGCCCAGGTCCAAGTCCCAGTGATCCTTACTTAACCCTCTTCTCTTTGGGGTGCCCCCACCAAGCTGGTTTTGTCCGGCTGGGATGCATGGAAGGCCGCCACGCGGTTTGGTGCATGTACCTGGGACGCCGGCTCGCAGGATCGCTCCTTGGGACCGTAGCCTTCCCAGTCAGTGAGATACCAGAGGGAGCCATGTTTTATTTTTAGGGTCCAGTATTTCATGGACTGCATGTTCACTATGACCCTGGACTGAACTGGGGGTGTGGGAAGGCAGTTGGATTCAGTTCACAAAGGGGTTGTCCACATCTGGCTTCAGTAGAGATAAGTGGAACACGGGGTGTACCCTCAAGGATCTGGGCAGAACGGTCCCAAGGTTGATCACCTGCCCGATCAGAGATGGGCCAAGGCACCGGTGGTCCAGTTTGCAAAAGAACCAGTATCTTGGTCCCAGGTTGCAGCTCAGACTGACTGTCTTAGTTGAGGTGTGTTGGTAGGCCATCCACGTTCTTCTCAAAAGCATCCATGTAGTCATAGTACTTGGTGGTGGGAAGAGCAGGAATCAGCCCCTGACAGTGGTCTCAGCTGGGCCACAGCCTGGGCCT